GCTCCAAGGCATTCTTGGTTGGTCCATGACAAATGGTGGGACTGTGTTTCCATCCCTGGGGCAGTCAATTCCAGGTGTAGTGGACACCTCTCCAGGTGAAAGCAAACTGTGGCCTGCACTCTTCTGCCAAAGGAACAGAGAAAAATGCGTTGGCAATGTCTATGGTGGTGTGCCACTTGGCTGCCTTGGACTCCAGTTCATACTGGAGCTCTAACGTGTCCGACACGGCAGCGCTCAGTGGTGGTGTCACTTCATTCAGGCCACGGTAGTCTACTGTTAAACTCCACGCCCCATCAGACTTTTGATGGGGCTGTTAAAGGGAGAGCGAGTCCTGCTGATCAGTCCTTGGCTCTCCAGCTGACAGATCAGTTTATGGATGGGAATTACAGAGTCTCTGTTGGTGCGATATTGCTGCCCGTGCACTGTTGTGGTAGGAATTGGCACCTGCTGTTCTTCAACCCTTAGCAGTCCCACCACAGAAGTGTCCTCTGAGAGACTGGGCAGAGCAGACAGCTGTTTGATTTCCTCTGTCTCCAAAGCAGCTATGCCAAAAGCCCACTGGTACCCCTTTGGGTCTTTGAAATACCCTCTCCTGAGGTAATCTCTGCCAAGAATGCACGGAGCACCTGGGCCAGTCACAGTGGGGTGTTTTTTTGCCATTTCCTTCCAGTTAGGCTCATTTCAGCCTCCAATAAAGTCAGTTGCTGGGACCCCCCTATGACTCTAGAAATACAGATGGATTCTGCTTCTTTCAAGTTTGATGGCATCAGGGTGCATTGGGCACCAGTGTCCACTAAAGCTCTGTACTCCTGGGGTTCAGATGTGCCAGGCCAACGAATCCACACAGTCCAGTAAACTCTTTCCTCTTGTCAATTCTGGGTTTTACTAGCTACTACACTTTTCTTCTCCCTCCCCTCCCTTCCAGTCCTCTGCTCTTGCAAACTACCCAAGCATGGTGTCCTTGTATGTTATCAACATTTCTTCTCATAACAATCCTCACTGAAACCAAAACACAGTGCTTTCCAGCTACTAAGAAGAAAATTAACCCTATCCTAGCAAAAACCAGGACACTGGAGAACCAAGAACTTTCTGAAGATATAAATTTTCTGAATCTAGATTAATTTCAGAGACACTATCAGCATGATCCAATTTGCCTCTTGGTCCTCTGTGGCCTTTCTTGGCTTTGAAAAAGCTGAAGAACTTTCTAAATGGATGTAGAAAGGAAACCCTGCAGTGGTCTCAATTCATTCAACCTCTCTGAGCAGTCTTTGGCTTGATCAGACCACTAAAACTTTCTGAGACTTCATCTTGAGAGTTGCCTTGAAGTTTTTTGGTAGAAGAGATGCTGGGAACCATCTAGTTTTCATGCAAAGTGGTGTGTCAGAGGGACACAACCTCAGACTTAAAAGGTGCTACCCACGCTGGCAGCATAGACTCACTCCAAGGCTGGGGTTAATTTGCCTTAGCACAGGCGTCTAATGGTATTTGAGACTGCCTGTGGTATTCAAGACTTTAAAATGGGTTTGATACATTTTGATGTATTGATGAGTATCAAACGTATTGATACTCATCACCCCAAAGTAGCATTTGGAGCACAGGTGAGGTCCCTGAGTGTGCAAATATGTCACTAGATGTCAATATTCAGACATCAGTATTCAGGCAATAGACTCCTCCCACTTCTGGTGTTACTTCCATGCTGGTGTCCCTATGTTTGCAAGATGCCCAAGTTCTGGTCTTCTGAACCCCCAACTATTAGGGGGAAAGCTGGTCAATACAGCTGAGGCCAAGAGTATTTTAGGTCACTTTAGAGGAGACCTGCATTTGACCAGATTCATTGTTCTGCTGGCTTAATTGACTTCATTAAATGGCTTTGCACTGGCTGTATCAGATGTTGAGATGTACACATCACAGATACAAAGATTTACTGTACATGCCTAAATCCAAATATCTGCATCTGCAGCTGATTTCCCCCTCTGCAACTTAGGGTAACTTACATTGGTTCTTCACATCCCTGTCACTCTTACTGCCTGATCATTACAAGCCAGCATCCTTTCCAAAAGGAAGTACTTAAAAGGGAACCAAGAAAAAGAGTGTCATAAAGGCATTTTTTGTGATCTCTGACTTTTACTTCTAAGCTACAGTTGTTTGCTTTATGCATGGCCAAAAAGGATCTCTGCAATGTGATTTATTTTTCTTAAGACTGGTGGCTAAAATTACTGTATAAATCACCCTTTGGAGGGATCACTATTCCTCTCTTGACTGAAGACAGGCCTTGAAGCACTGTCTTGGATTTAGACTCACCTGAGATGAATCCTGTCCTTAATCTTGTCCTTACTTTGAAGCTCATGAAGCTGTTGGATTTGACAACATGGAAGATACCTTGGGACTTTGGCTGAGATTCTGGAACACTTCTGAAAACACAAAAGAAGCCTGGATACCCTAAGGTATAAATTTCCATTAGATAGCTATTTGTAGGGAACTGAAACAAAGCTCCACAGTGTTGATATTAAAGATACACAAGATGAGTCATATCTACTGCTGTCTAAACATGGGTTTTTATTACCTCTTGGAATGAATCATAAGCCCAGTCAATTGAATAAGCGAAGAAAGAAGGTATATCTGTGACAAACACACTCCCAGAAGACCACAAAGGATCTTTCTAGGGACATCATCACAGGTCATCTTGGGAAGGGACAAAACTAGATTAAACCAAACTAAATAGCACTGGTGTAATGACTCACACAGGAAAAGCTCTGAGAAGAAACTAGGCTGCTAGGCTGGTATCCCTTAAAGTAATTGCAAAATGGAAGCAATGTTAATGGCACTAAATTAAGCATTTTCTTTTTCTCTTTCTAGGCCATTAGTGTTGAACTTTTTAGTAATATATACTGTACTTGGAAAAGTAGGTTATAATGTATGTAGCCAGCATACATGCAAAAGATCTTTTACATCTTTTCTTAAACTAACCTTAAGCAGGTTAGTTTAAAAAAAAGCTACATACTTGAAATGTCACAAAATAAGATGTGATTTTGTCATTTACAAGACAAGTTACTGAGACCTGTATGTAAGTAAACCTCCTCAGAAGACAAGACATCTTAGGAGGAGGAGGAGTGTTCTTTGGCTAAAAGGGATCAAGGGATTAGATGACAGAACAATAACCAGCTGATATGATATGAAAAATATTTTTAAGGGTTTGTAAAATAAAAGGTCTTCCTCCCAGGAATATTTGATTTTCTCCATCTGCATGGTGAGTACTTCTCTCTTCCTTTATAACAATATCATAACAAAGATGATCTCAAGGATGGCATATGATCCACCTCCCTGAAAGAAAGGAAAACATGTCTATTAAGACAATGTGTATTGTCTTCTCCCTAAAAGAAGAGGTTTTCTAGCTCTTGCAAACTTCTCTAAATGTGCTGTGCAATTAATTTATTAGAAGTAGTAGTTTTGTCAATTTAAATATTCTATGTTATTACTCCTCCTAGTACTATTATCATCACTGCTGCAATTCAAGATTTGGTGATAGTTTCATGAGAGGAGTCTTGTTAACTGTTAGTAGTATTTACATACTTCTTTAATTATAATAATAATGAATTGGAGTATTTTCATTAAAATAATTGCATAAGAGTCCAAGAAGTATTCATCTCTACAAGAATGACATCCCAATCTGAGGAATTACTTTAAGCTCAGTGTATTGTGAGTAGAGAGAACAAGAGAAGTCCAGAAGGCAATTTTCAGACTTATCTTCACTGCCTGCTTAAGATGAAAATGAGTTGTCCCTGCCAATGCTTATTGTTATCAACTAATTAGAAAAATCTGCTGTGACTAACTCAAAACTTGCATATGTTTTGGTCACCTCATTTAGGGCATTTGTCAGCATTAAATGCCTGATTTGGTTGCATATGTACAGGTGTCTAGTTTTGTTTGAAATGTCTCAATGCTACTTGACCAGCCTCCCTACAGGCAATGGTCCTCCACAGTGTCTGCTGCTCCTCCATAGATGTCTCAGTCTAAGAATTCAAGTTGATCCTTCTTTCACTGTTCAAAAGTCAGTAGAATAACTCAGTGGCATTTTAAATGCCTTATGATGTCCCATCTCATCTCTAGGTTGTAGAAATTTACAAATATGTGTCCAATTTGCCAACACTATATCCATGTCTAGAATACTCAGTGGTGCCTACGATGTTATTAGACATCTATGTTTAAGCAACTGAGTTCCATCCCAGTTGTCCAAGTGTAAGTTACTCACCACAAATGGATTTTTTCTCACTTAGACTGAAATCTACATCTCTGTCTTTTTTTGGTTAAGTGATAGTTATAGACAATCCAGGAAATCAATTATGTAATCTACATTAACATGAGATGAATCATGTCCTACAAATACCTTTTATATCCATCAGTCAAAAATTGTTTCTAGATGATTTGGTCATGTAGCTCTCTACCAGGAAAGATGCTTGAAGATGGATGAGCAGACTCTTATCTTCTATTTGCTTCTGGAGAGAGACTCCTCTGTTCTTTGAATCACTCCTCAGCAAATCCAGGCAGTAATCATCATGTTCATTTCATCAGGGAACCATTTCCTCTCTGAAAGTGCTAGATACTAGTAGTATGATAGACTACTTAGATTTAGCACCTTATTTTTAGTAAGGTAGAATTGTGTAAGATGAATTTAACTAAGCATCTGATGCCAAGGGCCAGGAGTATTTTTGGGAGATTCAGTTAAACCTTGGTAGTGGAGGTATTAATGAATCCTACGTTTAATCAAGTGATGCTCCTTTTCAGAGTTCCCCTTGTGTGCATCCATGCTTACATGTTATATCAGGGTCACCCACCATAAAGCTCCAGTCCTTTAATTGTCCACTCTCCACCCCCTCCATGTTCCATTTAATTTTAACTGTCTCTTTAGGCTCTAAAGATCAGAAACAGAAGGAGAAGGAGGAAGGATCACTGCTTCATACTCAAGAGCTTCTTCTACAATGTGGATTCATTTGCCTTTACAGGCTTAGCATTGAAATTGAATATTGCTCAGAAAGGCAGTGTAGACTTCATCTTAGAAACCGGTGAGGAAGAGGAGCAGGTAATTCAGAGTGGAGATATTTTCAAGCCTTGATGAAACATCTTATTAGGAAGAACACCCAGTAAAAAGGAGCACTGTCTGATTCCAGGAAAAATGCTTTGGAGACTCACTCATTTTGTTTTTTGTGTGCTTCCCTCAAAATATTTTTATCTGTTTAAAGATACAGATGGAGAATCAAACATCTGTACAGAGGGAGGATCAAACAACAATGATGCATTTCATCCTCTTGGGTGTTACTGATGATGATCAACTCCAGTATGTGTTCTTTACCATCCTGTTAGTCACCTACATCTTGACTGTAACAGGTAACATTCTCATCATCTGGATCACCCTCATAAACCATCATCTTCAGACTCCCATGTACTTCTTCCTCAGGAACTTCTCCATCTTAGAGATTGGCTTTACCACCACTGTCATCCCCAAAGCTTTGGCTAACCTTGCTTTAGGCAAAAAAACAATTTCTTTAAGCGGTTGTCTCACTCAAACTTTTCTCTACTGCATGCTAGGTACCACTGAGTTTTTCCTGTTAGCTGTAATGTCCTTTGACAGGTACATGGCCATCTGCAAACCTCTACACTATGTGGCCATTATTAATTCACAAGTCTGCAGCCAGCTGGTGATTACTGCCTGGATTGGTGGGGCTATCCTCATTCTTCCTCCAGCAGTGGTATATTTCCAGATGCCATTCTGTGCTTCAAACATCATTAATCATTTTTTCTGTGATAGTGTACCAATGATTCAGCTCAAATGCGGAAATACCAAGGTCCTAGTGTGCATGACTTTCATCTCAGCAGTGTTCACTCTACCGGGTAGTCTAGTTATTACAGCTGTATCCTACATCAACATCATTAGTGCTGTGGTCAAAATCGCCTCTGTGGCTGGCAGACAAAAAGCCTTTTCCACTTGTGCCTCTCACCTCATTGTGGTGTCTATCACATATGGCAGCTGCATCTTCATGTACCTCACACCTACCCAGACTGACAGACTGGACCTCAGCAAGGTAGTGTCCATCTTGAACACTGTGGTTTCTCCTCTACTCAATCCATTTATCTATAGCTTGAGGAACACACAGTTTCAGGGTGCCTTAAGGGAGAGCATCAAATGGAGTATAATAATTTCTAAACACCTAGAAATTTGAGGTGGTGATGAATGTGGATGCAATTGAGAATGTGAAAGAAAATTATTTAATAACATTTTTCTCTCTTCTTAGACATCCGTCCATCCATCCATCTATCCTCATGACTATTCCTGCAACATCTTTCCATCCATCCATCCATGCACTCATACATTCATCAATCCATCTCCAATTGTCGATAATATTGTAAATTACTGAAAACTGTTCTTTCAGTTCTTTCTCCTCCCCTTTTCTTCCCACAAGCTTTTCTCTATGTTGAATGATTTAGGATAGTGATGGCTAGTCCATGAATCACTCCTCCACTGAGTAGTCCAAGTCCACATGAAGAATGAGAAGTACAAAAGGTTTTATGCAAACAACTTCACTGTGTCATTTAAGAAGTCACTTGTACACACAGAACAGTTCCTTCCTTCAATGGAATGAAATCAGAGAATATGGAAAGATATGGGACAGAGGGAAAGATAATGTCATCAGCTATCTGTGAATAAATGCCTGAGCTTTTGATCCTCGAGAGCCTCAGTGATATGTAGTGTATGGAGATCTTCCTCTGATTTATACATAATTCAGTTTACGTCTCAGCAGATAAAGAGTGTTGGCTACCTCTAGGGAGTGAAGGTGGTAAGAATGCTATATCTTTGCTGAAACAAACTGAGGAAAAACTCCTTTACTTTGGGGGTGATGGAGCACTGTAACAGGCTGCCCAGAGAGGCTGTGGAGTCTCCTTCTCTGGGGATAATAAAAACCCATGTGAAGGTGATCCTGTGCAACCTGTTCTGGATGTACCTGCTTTGGCAAGGGGTTGGACTAGGTGATCTCCAGAGGTCCTTCCCAATGCCTACAATTCTGTGATTCTGTGTGTATTTTTTATTCACGGATGAAGGAAATAATGTCAAATTTGTAACATTTACAGGTTTTAATAATTAATTTAATAACGTCATGCTTGCTGGAAACCAACTTACTTAAGCTTTAGGAAACTGGAATGGGACTAATCCTACCTAACATCAGTGCTTGGATTCAGCATATGGTTTGGACCTATGTATAAACATCTAAAAATAGGCATTAGGATATGTGTGCAGATGGCAATCCCTGGCCTACACGAAGAAGACAAATACATGAGTAATTAGAAGGCATTGCAGACAGCAAAAGGGCTGTAATGTGTGTCTACTCTGACCTGACTCAGGGCACTGCTAACAAACAGCAACATGGGAAATGATAAGACACTATTGATAACAAATGGGGAGAATGAGCTTAGCAGAACTAATCAACAAGGTAGAAATTGCCAGAGCAACCATCTCATAAATACCAAAGAAGTCTTTAAATGTAGAAAAATTCAGGCTAATGAATGAAAATGTAGAAAAATTCATGCTAATTTTCTAAATGTAGAAAAATTCAGGCTAAGCAGGGAGTGGGCTTTCTAGCGGTAAAGGAGAAGAACTTGGGAGAGGAAAATAATATCAGGTGAAGCAATTCATGTGATGGTGACTCTTCAGTACATCTGTCAAACAACTGTGCTCTTGATCAGTGGAGTTTGGAACAGGAGAAGAAACCTGTTGCTGTCATAAACATACTTGTGTCTGACACTTTCATGGTTGAGAGACCTGGTGTCTTCTTAAATTTGGTGAGGGAATATCTAGGGTTGGGAAAGGCATTCTGACTTCCTTGTGAAGAACTCTCATTACTGGCATCTTGTGCTACTTTAGATGCACTTGACTTCAAAATGAACAGAGCTAGTAGATATGGTTTAGGGGCTCCACAAGATTCAACCCCTGTACAGTAGGACCTGCAGGCCAAGCTAAACATACCAGGACATCTCAACGGAACTGCCTTTCTGAGTTTCAAAAATGGTTTAAATAGAAGTGTTTTAGGATATCAGAGTCATTGTCATGATTTGGGTGGTACAACAGAAGATGTACCATATACCTTCTGGAGCAGCAGCTGAAGACAAAATGAAATAGCCTGGAACATCTAAAAAAGCCCTAAATTCCCAGGAAACATTATTGCCTCAATATATTTTTTGAGTACTAAAGAGGAGTAAGCATATTCAAGGCATTTTTCATCTGAAAGATGGTCTGCTTAATGTGTAGGGATTCATGTCATAGAATTGCCAACAGGATGTCAGAAATATCTGTATCTCCTTGGTAACCATTTGTCTAGAATTGGCAAAATTAATTCCTCTCTCCTTTCTGTTTCAGAAACTTTCTTTTCCTTGGATTTACTAAGCATACTTTCAGTCATTAACAGGAGCTCAGGGAAATACCCCTGAAAAGCTTTCTTTTGTTTATCATCCTGTACATTAAAGATCACAATATCCTGCTAGTATCACCTCACTACCTCTCATTACCTCATTGCATTGAGCCTCCTCATTCTCACGCTCAGACCAAAGGACTCCTGTGTGTAGGTGTGGGTGCTGATGTGGGTGCAAGGCAACTGGGAAGCTGGGGGGTGGGTCCCAGGTCAGTTACTGGACAGACTGAGTACCTCAGTACAGCTGTGGGGAGATTCACAGTGTGCCCGTGTGGTGGGGGGTTGCTTGTGTTTGTGTGAGGGTGGCAGGTTAGTGTGGGTGAGGCAGGAGGGTCTGTATCAGCACTCGTAGTGGAGCTGGACCTCAGAGCTCACATGTCCAGCTGCTGGAAACAGGATTGAAGAGGAGACACTGAGTGTCTGGGGCAGTGACTGGGAGATCTGTATTGTGTGTTGTATTGGGTTTGCGTGGCAAGGTTTTGGTAACGAGGAAGAGGAGGCGTAGGGGTGGCTTCTGTGAGAAGCTGACAGAAGCTTCCCCCATGTCCGACACAGCCAGTGCCAGCCGGCTCCCAGATGGACCTGCTGCTGGCCAAGGCTGAGCCAATCAGTCACGATGGTAATGTATTTGTGATAACAGAATTAAGAATAAAAAGGAGAAGAGAAAAAAAGCTGCACACTTTGCAGCTCAGGAGAGAGGAGTGAGAAGATGTGAGAGAAACAAACCTTGCAGACATCAAGGTCAGTGAAGAAGGAAGGGGAGGAGGTGTTGTAGGTGCTAGAGCAGAGATTCCCCTGCATCTTGTGGTGAAGACCATGGTGAGGCAGTCTGTCACCCTGCAGCCCATGGAGGTCCATGGTGGAGTAGATGACCACCTGTAGCCCATGGAGGACCCCACACTGGAGCAGGTGGATGCCTGAAGGAGGCTGTGACACCGTGGGAAGCCCGCACTGGAGCAGGTTCCTGTCAGGACCTGTGGTCCTGTGGAGACAGAGGAGACCGCCCCAGGGCAGGTTTGCTGGCAAGAATTGTGATCCCGTGGGGGACCCACACTGGAGCAGTCCCTTCCTGAAGGACTGCACCCCATGGAAAGGACCCAGGCTGGAGGAGTTCATGAAGAACTGTCAGTCATGGAAAGTATGTTGGGGAAGTTCATGGAGGACTGTCTCCCGTGAGAGGGACACCACGCTGGTGCAGGGAGAGTCCTCCCCCTGAGGAGAAAGGAGCAGCAGAACCAATGTGTGATGAACTGACCTCAACCCCTGTCCCCCTGTGCCGCTGGGGGGGTAGAAGTGGAAATTGGGAAAGGAATTAAGCCCGGGAAGCAGGGAGGGGTGGGGGAGGTGTTTTAAGATTTGGTTTTATTTCTCATTGTCCTCTTGTCTGATTGGTAATAAATTAAAACTCATTTTTCCCCAAGTTGAGTCTGTTTTCCCGTTCCAGTAATTGGTGAGTGATCTCTCTCTGTCCTTATCTTGACCCACGAGCCTTTTGTTATATTTTTCTCTCTGCTGTCCAGTTGAGTAGGGGAGTGATAGAGTGGGCTTTGGTGGTCATCTGGCACCCAGCCAGGGTCAACTCACCACATGAGAGGAACTGAACTTTGGGCATCCATTCAGAAATGGCAGTAACTTGGGCACTGCATGAAGCCTTCCATTAAAACCTCTCCTTCTTTCACCTCAGCTGTCATCATCATGGACCTTTCATGAACTATTACTTGACCTGCTTTTCTCCTGCTTCACATTCCTTCCACCAGCAATTCACTCCCCAGCGAATCCTCTGTCCAAAGCAGGGCAGGCAGGGTATTCCCAAGTGTCATCTATGAGGCTCATAGGCCAACACAGTGCAATATCACTACTTCAGGCTCGCAGGCTCTTTCAGATCTGGGAATTCTGGATTCAATATCAAGGCCACAGGGAGTGGTCCCAGGCATGGGTGCCTTGCTGACCTTACAATGCCACTGCCTGGTCTCAGCATCATGGGAGAATTCACCTGGACATATTGCCAGAATGTGGGTAGAATAATGGTCCAGACCCACGGAGGTTATGGACATCACTGGTCTGCCAGTCAGTCCATCTGGTTTATACATACTGAGCTGTGCCTGTTTGCCAGTACTTCAGCTGGGTGTGTTTAATCTGCATGGTCCTTAAAAGGAAAACTCTTCATCCAAGGCTAAGCTCCTAGTTTTATTTTAGACACTTCCAACTGAGTTGTCCACCTATACCTGTGCTACCTTCATAGGGAAATAGAGAGGAAATGTCATCTTGGCATGAGGTGATCCTGATCACAGGAATCTCCCTGGAAATAACTACTGGTTCATTTTTCATTCCGAATGGATATGAGGAAAAAAAATCTTGGGAGATTCTTATCAAAGCCATGAACAACCTGACAGAAATTCAAAGCTGGCCCAGCCATAAGGTGAGAATGGGCAACGTGACTTGGCTCTTGGAGAGTACTTTTCTTCCCAAATGCCCTTTCTTTCCTGAAAGTTTCAGGCAATCCCAGACTTTTAGTTGTTCTTTAATGAATACATCAACACAGATGAATGAGGACTGAATAGGAAGATGGGCAGCTGTGGTCCAAGGATGAGCTCAACTATTAGAATAAGCAAAAGCTGAAATTCCTGGACAGAGCCAGGCTGTTATATAACTAACTCACTCATCTATCACTGTACCAGGCTCAGCAGTCAGAAAGTCTCTGAGTTTGCATCCTTGAGAAGTTCAAACACAAACATAATCCTTCCCATTGGCACAAAGAA